CACAGCGAGCCAGAAAGCTCTCGCAGCGTTCCGGAGCGCTCTGGGACCAGCCGCGGCGCCCGACGCACCCTCCATCGGGGGTGGACAGACCTCCCACCCTGACACGTCGATTCGTGAATTGTCCGCTTTCGGTTTTCGAGAGGGCGCCGCGGCCGTCATTTTCCAGGCTTGCGCCCGCCAGGTTTGGGCCCGAGGGCGTTTTCACTAAACCACGTTTTACTAAAGGGAGGTCTGTCCATCCCCGACTCCAGACCCGCCCGCTCTCAGAGATTCCCTATTTCTCTTCATCCGATGTGTCTTCCTCCGGGGGCCAGGTTCTTCCCTACATCCTCAGATGTATGTCTTGTTCTCAGGTTGATGCCTCCACCTGATCCTTCTCCTCCTTCCTTCCGTCTCCTCCCCGCTCACATTTCCTCCACATATTCAGACTCTCATGATCGTCGCGATGCAGCAGGTATAGTATCTGAGCACCCCAGAGAGGAGACGCAAGGGGATAGGACATGTTCCCCGTTCGCGCTCAGATTGTGGGTAACCATGTCTCCGTCGGTCTGCTTGTTTGTTTTCTTGCGGGAAACCCGGTCACTGCAATATAATTGAAGCGGTTCGTTGGTTTGGGCACCACCGATTCTTCTCCGTTCACAGCCCCATGATCACCGCGATGTAGCAGCACTTGGGCACCCCAAGGGGTTGCCACCAAGGGGTGTGACACTTGCACGGTCGTGCCCAGATCCTGGGGACGTCTGAGACAAGACGCGTGCTTCGGCACCGCGATTCCTGCTCTTGGAGAGTCCCAAGAAGGAGCCGCTAGTGAGCGCTCAGTCGCCATCGGCTAAGTCTCCTCTCGCTTCGCGGGGTGCACGTCTGAAAGACTGGACGTTGGACGGTTTGCCCTGCTCGTCTGCCGCGAAGTTCTGCCGTGTCGTTCTGCCCTCCCCGGGGCGGTGTCAGTGCCACGGGGGGGCGATGCGCCCACCCCTCCATTTCAGCGCCGGGACGAGCGTGCGAATGTCCACGACAGCAATAGGCATTGACCGCGTGTCAGCACAAGCCAACGCCAAGTTCAAATTCAGATGAGCATAGCAACGACGCGCCATTCGTATACAAGTCCGCTGTTGTCTTGGTGGTTTCTTGGGGCCATTTGGGGCCTCTTGGGGGCCCCTTGGAGGCGTCTTGGGGGAGCCCTTGGGATCTTCTTGGGGGCCTCTTGGGGGCCTCTTGGGGGCCTCATGGGCCCTCTTGGGGCGCTCTTGCGCCGTTCGGTCCCTTCGGAGGCCGTCTTCGGGGGCCTCTCGGGGCCCCCCTTGTGGCTACATCGGGAGCTTCTTGGGCCAGTTTGGGGGCCGCGTGAGCCGTCTTCGGTGCCTCTTTGGGACATCCTGCGGCCCTCGAGGGCCGCATTAGGGCCCTCTTGGGGGCCTCTGCGGCCGTCTTCCTCTTGGGGGCCTCTGCGGCCGTCTTGGGGCCATCTTGGAGGCTGCGTGGGCCGTCTTGGGCCCCTGAGAGCCGAGAAAGGCGGGAACTCGAAAATCTTGCAGACCAATAGGGCATACATTCTTGGTTTGTATCCAGTGGCTCTCTTGGGGACCCTCTGGGGCCATCTTGGGCCGTCTTGGCCCGTCTTGAGGCTATATTGAGCCGTCTTGACGCCCTCTTGGACCCCCAAGAGGACCAACAGGCCCGAATCATAAATGTTCCATTGGTTTCGATCACAGGTTGACCACAACTGATCGACGAATGTGGCGCAATTCCTGGGTAGGGTAAGGTGGGCAGATTGAATAATGTAAGATAGCCCCGCGTGTAGCAAGTATGGAATAATTTGATACATTGGATGCTTTGCAGTAAGGCATCGCTAAGAAACGCTGCCGCTCAACACGTCACCTCCGGACGCAGACGCCTCTCGCTTCGCGGGGTGCACGTCTGACGCATGTGCAGTCCAATCATTGCGCGGCCTGGTGGGAGCTTCTTCGGGGCCTATTTGAGGCCTCTTGGGGGCTCCTTGGGGCCTCTTGGGGGCTTTTTTGGAGCCCTCGTGGGGCCTCTTGGGTTTGTCTTGGGCCGTCTTGGGGCGCTCTTGCGCCGTTTGGCCCCTTCGGAGGCCATCCTGTGGGCCTCTCGCGATCGCCTTGGAGCGTTCTTGGGGTCCTTTTGGGCCGTCTTGGGGGCCCTTTGGACCGTCTTGAGTGCCTCTTTGGGCCGCCTTGGGGCCGTCTTGGGGTCCTCTCGGGGGCTTTTCGGGCAATCTTGGGGCATGTGTCGAGGCTTCTTGGGCCGTCATGGGCTTCTGAGAATCGAAAAAGGTGACAATGCTACAATCTTACAACGACCTATGGAACATAATTGTGTTTGGCCTCTGGAGGCGCTCTTGGTTGTCCTCTTGAGGCCCTGTTGGGTGGGCCTTCCCGGGGCCATCTTGGAGTGTATTTGGGCCGTCTTGGCCTGCACCAAAGCCATATTGAGCCGTCTTGACACCTCGTAGTCCCCCAAGAGGCCCAAGGGACTCTAAAGGAGACTGGGGCAAAGGCGAGAGATAGCGAGCGTTTGTCCGCGGCCGTTAATGCTCAAGCGTCCAGCCGCCAACATATGATTGCGTTTCATCGCGAGGCACACTACTTGCCATCGAGACCGAAAACACTTTCGCATGACATGGCCCGGCGCTCCCGCGACAATCTCCTACTTCTACGACTGTCGCTACTACGGTACAAAACAGCTGGATATGGGCTTCGCCTTAGGCGAAGCTTTTGGTTGGGCCTCCCAACCCCCTTCAAACGTGGTAGCGGAGCTGGCCTATGGTGGTCAGCTCAAGCTCTACTCCTCACCATCCACGGCACTATTTGGTGGATTACTGACATGGTGGAACATCAGGGTGCACTGGGTTTGCGCGGAGGAATGCACAGATCTACGCACGACCGCAAGGACACTTGCAGCGCTACCTCCGTTCTCGCGGAGGCTTCTTACATGAGTCCGACTTCCTTGCGCTACTACACTCCTGAGGCCCACCCTCCTACTCCAAGTGGAGGCTTTTTTGAAGACGCAACGCATGGTAACATGCGATGCGACACTGCGCCGCCTCCACCCCCACGCAGGTTAGCGACAACACACCATGACCCACAGCCATATACATCCGACCATGACCTACGGGGCAAGTGGATTGGCATTGCCGCATTTGGCCTTCTACGGGTCGCTATCGGGCGCGCTGTTGGGCACGCGCAGCGGGGCGGAGACGACGCGCGCACTGCCGGCCCCCACTGGGGCCCTGCCGGCAACGTACATGTCCGCGAATTCGCTCGCGAAGTACACGCCTGGGTCAACGTGGCCGCCGTCACCATGACCCCCTCCCAACAGGCCGCAGCATCACAGCGTGGTCTGGGGGGGCTCGCAAGGACCATGGCTGACGGCGTCACTTAGATCACGCGCATGGTCCATTCTGAAATACGTCACGGCACAGAGTGGCTCGCGCGTTCTGTGCTGCGAAGGGCAGATCCAGCACGATCGCCCACGTTATCTTACCTTTGTTTGTGGGGGAACGTTCAAAATCAATGGGGCCTGTGAAACGACTAGGATCACGACTGTATACCAGCACTTGAGCATCGTGATCACCTAGCTGCGCATGCCAGTGTGGAGCTGGACAGGCCTGATTACAATCATTAAACCGCTGAGCGGAAGGCCCCCAACGGTGACTCGCGGGCCGCAGTGAAGTGGGACAAGGATCGCCGGATTCAGGCTCTTCGCGGCTCGCAAGATCCACGTGGATTCCGAGTGGCAGTGGAGGGGCGCTCGGCGCAATTTGTCTTGGAATCCATATCAAGTTGGAATGATGATTACTCCCTAGATAAGTTGACGACGTGATGCGAGAAGATGGAAAACAGCTCGACGAAAGGCCACAACCAAACAAGATCAAGATAACGCTGGTCGACTTCGACCCCCTGCAAGACGCCGATTGCTTCGCGAACACCCTCGCGCTATCAACCCGGTTTCGCTGCCGCGTTTCTGGCTGCGTCTGCGGCGGACATTGCGCCGGACAAGACCGACCGCCATAGCGACGAATTGGCTGAATGTTGCGCGCAACTGAAGGAGCTGACCAAGCAGTGCGCGGCGCGGCGCAAACAGGCCTTCACCGCCAAGAACGGAGCTCTCGTTGAGGAGATCCACGAAGCTTGGCGACACAGCCACACGGCAGAGGCATATTGAATGAGCCTGCGCCTGGCAGGAGGCCGCCGCGGCGGCGGCAAGCGAGATTTTCCACGCCTGCGAGGAGCGCTGCCGACAGCAGAAGGGTCGCTCGCGACGCGGCCCAGCGGGGGGGGGAGGCTTCAAGGATGGAGTGGCGTGTGGGGGGGGGGGGGGGCGCGGGGTCGGGGACGCTCCAAGCGCCCCTTTTTCCCGCCTGCGCGCGCGCGCGAGAGAGAGGATCCCAATGCCGCAGACATGCCGCAGGGGATTCAGCGCAGTTTCAATCGCGCCCCACGTCAGCACGTAAACGAAAGGTTCCCGAAGCGGCCCGTGCCCGCTGAGCCACGGGGCCTGGGCGTCGGCGACGTTCCTCCGGGGGGCCCTCGTCGCCGCGCGGGGCCCGGCTCGCAAACCCGGCCAATTTTCTGAGAACGAGTTCGGGGCTGGATGGCACGAGCCCTGCCGCTCGATCAGCCGAGCGGGTCCCCCGCCGAGCCCGCGGCCTTGCAGTCGTGGATTTACCTCGCAGGGGCGCGCCCTCCAGGCCCGCCTGGACGTCGAGCGGCGCGCGGACTAGGCCCCCGCGGCATAGCCAATTCGAAGCGAGCGACGAGACGGGGGCCGCCTTGCGCCCGCTCTGAAATACATCGCGGATTTTCGCAAAGGAGGCGCCGTGAAGACGTCGCGCCCGCGAACCGCTGCGCCTCTTGACGCCTGGCACGTACTCGGCGGGCCCGCCGAAAGAACTAAAAAACTTGCTCAGGAGGACAAGAAACACACAGACACAATTGTTCCTCGATTCCCGAGGACACAGGCGAAAATATGGGAAG